AGCTCAAGGCTAGCGCTCTACCACTTGAGCCACAGTGCCACTTCCGGCTTTTTTCATTTTGCTTATGTGGTGCTGAGGAATCGAATCCAGGGCCTCATGCATGCAAGGCAAGCACTCTAGCACTGAGCCACCTTCCCAGCCCCAAGAGATTCTTTTTTAGTGTACTGTTTGAATTTTTTTTTCACCATGTACCCATACAACTAAATTGTGTAGATGCAGTGGTCAGATCAGCTTCTGGAGAAATCTACTTGATGAGTGACCCCCAGCCACTGTCCCATGTACCATCTGGCAAATGCTCCACGCTCCACTGCTCTGTCAATGACAGAGCAGTTGAACTAGCTCACACCACCCTCACTCTTGTGGCCTAAGCTTCCTGCTATCTCTGCTTCACGGAACTAAAAGCTCTTCCTGACATTTCTAGCTTCCTTCTCTCCCTCCCTCCCTCCCTCTCTCTCTCTGGTTTGGTCATGGGGCTTGAACTCGGGGCCTGGGCACTGTCCCTGAGCTTTTTTGCTCAAGGCTAGCACTCTACCACTTTGAATCATAGTACCACTTCCAGTTTTCTGGTAGTTAATTGGAGGTAAGAGTCTCACGGTCATTCCTGCCTGGGCTGGCTTCTGAGATCTTCAGATCTCAACCTCCTGTGTATCTAGGATGACAGGTGCAAGCCACCTGCATCCAGCTATCTTCCTTATCTCCAATCAACTAGACCCCACTGTCTGCTTCTGGGAAAACCTGAAGCATTTTTAATGAAAATTAAAAATAAAACTGCTGAGTTATCCTAGGAATAAAGCAGCAACAGGATTGCCCAGTTCCAGAGGCCCCTTGTCCACAAGCCATTACTGATCCTTCACTGTGAGCTCCACATCGAGGGCAATGTTCCTCAAAGGAGGCCCTGTACACACTGTGAAGTCCTCATTGCATCTGGCTGGACTTCCTCCAGCCTGCTGCAGTCAGTGGCCAAGCAGCTTGCTCCCTCCAATCTTGGGTCTATCTACTCCATCTCTTTCACTCCAACCTCTTGCTCCACCCACTTCCTTCCTCCCAAGGTATGTTCTCATCCGGGGCATGTTCTGGTCCCTCCCTGTCACTCTCCCTCCAGTTTCTCAGCTGACCCCCAGCCCACCATGATTTACTACTGTAAGGCCCAATTAGATGCCACTCCATTCATCCATTTTTCCCCCCTTCTTCCTTCTGCTTTGGTACTGGGCATTGAACCTAGGGCCTCATTCCTGCTAAGCAAGCAGTATGCTACTTACAATATGCCTCCAGCCCTCTTGTATTTTGATTTTGAGATAGTCTCCCTGTCATTGTTAGGGTTGGCCTTGAGCTCATCACTCTCCAGCCTCCATCTCCCCAGTAGCTGGGATTACAAGCATGAATCATCACCCCCAGTCCCATTCAGTAAATACTGAGCACATATGAGGTACCAGGCCCCTTTCCAAGCACTGGGGATACAGGAAGGAACAAAGAACCCTGCTTTCACTGAGCTTAGGTTCCAGTGAAGATACAGACAGCCTAGAAACATAATAAACGATGTGATCTAAAGAGAAACAGGCTCTGTTGCAGGGGTGGGGCTAGCGGGAGGAGGCGGGGCTAACAAAGAGATTAAAGAGGTTCTAGCTGAAGTTGACTGATTGCCTGTATGAAAATAGAACAATGAACCTTGTTGAAATTACTTTAGGAGTAACTTCATAATAAATATCAAGTTATAAAATAATTATTTTAGGGGAGAGTGATAAGAGGGAATTTGATTGTGTCCATTATAAACCTTTTGGGGGAAAGTATCACAATGAAATCTACCACTGTAGAACTAATGTATGCTAATTAAAAGAAAGCTGTATGGCCTAATACAAGCACTAAGTGCTGTGAAGGCAGGGAGGTGGGTTGTGTGTACCTGGAGATAGGGGTTTGATGTTAAACAGAGTCCTCAGGAAAGTGCACCTAGGCAGCTTGAGGAAGAGGAGGGAGGGGTGGAGCAAGCCCTGCACATCAGGAAGGAACATGCTGGGCATTTTAGAGGTGAGTGTGGCTATGAGATATAAGCAAATGAGATATAAGTAGGAACACTAGGCAGGTGAATTCTGAGGCTTCCTGGGGGCCCAGTGACTGGACCACGGCTTCTACTCTAAAAGAAGACAGAGGGTTTTGGGTACAGTGACAATCTAATTTAGATTTCCCAAGAACCACACTGCTGCCTGGAATATGGACTTGTAAGAGGGTGAGGAGAGCCAGGTGTCGGTGGCTCTTGCCTGCAATTCTAGTTATTCAGGAGGCTGAAATCGGAGAATCATGGTTCAAAGCCAGCCTGGGAAGGAGGTCCATGAGATTGATCTCCAATTAACTACCAGAAACCTGGAAGTGGAGCTGTGGCTCAAGTAATACCACTCCAACCTTGAGGGAAAAAGCTCAGGGACAGTTCCCAGGCCCTGAGTTCAATGCCCAGAACTGACACCAAAGAAAAGGGGAGAGGGGAGGGAAAGGACAGACCAGACCATATAGGGAGACTCTGAAATATAGGTGAGAGAGAACTGTGGCTTGAAGCAGCTGGCATTCCACTGACGGCCTCCCACACATCTTTGTCATACCATGTCTTCCACCTGTCATTGTGTGTAAGCCATATCCACGTCAAGTCTTGCTCATTGGCGTGAACACAGCACTTAACGTTGTATTAGACACATAGCCTGTACTCCATAAACATTTATTGTATGAGTTTAACGAGCTTGACACAGGTATGTGAAGGGAAGAACCCAACAACAATCCTGGTTTCACAGGACCCACCTGAGGCTGTTTCCACAACGGTTAGCAACAGGTACCTGCAATTCCAACCTGGCCAGGGCTCTGTTTACCTGAGAGGCACAGACTTCCCACGGCCCTCTGCCAGTCCAAGCAAATGAGCCACCATTCTCATGTGACACCATATGCATTCCTGATATTCTCTGCCTGGATCCTCCCCATTTAGTTGCCAACCAGACAACTCCTCACTGCCACCTCTTCCAGGAAGCCTCCCCTGACTTCCCCAGGGTGGTTCCCTTCCACCCTGCTCTGTAGTCCAGTGTCACCGGTGTTGACAAGAAATCTCTGAGTCAGTTTCCCCATCCATTCCTGCATCCCATAAATACTGGTCACCCTCCTCCATGTGTCAGGGACCAGCGCTGACGGGCGGTAGGGAAACAGCAACAAACAACACATACACGTCTCAGGAAGCTTCCAACATAGAAGAATGATGGAAAGCGATGATACATACCTGGGTGGGTTGTCCCCCCCCCATTAAATACCCGTTTTCTCCTTTATTATCATTATTACTTGGCAGTGCGGGGATGGAAGTGCGGGCCTCGTGTGCGTGCTAGCCAAGCCCTCGACACTGAGCTACATACACCCTCAGCCCCAGGTTTAACTGTCACAATAGTTCGCTGAGCACATCATTAGGACCCTGGAGTGGAGGGAGGGAGGGAGGCCGCCTGCCCCGGTCCCCCGCCCTGCTGCCCCCACGCCGGGGGCCTGGCAGCGTTCGGTCCATGTTGGGGGCGGCGGTGGGCGAGGGCCCCCGGCTCACACTCCACCCTGCCCCTGCGGGGCGAGAGCGGGCAGGGGACGGACACACGGACGGCAGGCAAAGCTCATGGGGGTCGGTGAGCCCCCCACCTTCCCCACCCGGAGCCCAGCATCTCAGGGGCATCACCCCCACCCCGTCCCCGAACCCCCAACAACCAGACGCCGGAAGTGGAGCCCGCCGGGGGCCTCCGCACCCAGCCCGGCGGCCTCCCGAGGCCCCTTACTTCCGGCCATCGCCCCCTCCCCAGCTGTCCCCATTTCCTGGGGTCTCCCGCTCCTCTGGCCCGCACTTCCGGTGTGTCCTCCCCCTCGAAGTCCCTCTGGGCGGCCCCCCGGGCCCCCCCCGGCCTCGCCGGCACTCACCGGCCCGGCTGCAGGGCGGAGCGCGGGTCAATCGGCGGCTGGAAGCTCGTCTGGCAGCACGCACAGAACCGACCCGCACTCCCGCCCGGCCGGCCCGGCCCCCCCGCACCGGAAGTGACGCGCACGTGGGCGGGCGCGGCGTCTCTGGGAGTGCGCGTGCGCGACATCTCCCGGCGTGGCTGGCGTTCTGCCTCCCTCTGGCGGCGGCTCCGTGATGCTGCAGGATCCCGGCTGGGAGAGCAAGCGGAGCGCCCCTGGCTCCTCCATCCAGGTGTACAGATGGGGAAACTGAGGCCCAGAGAAGGAAAGAAAGAGGCCGTTTTCTGAAGACGTACTACCACGTGCCTGGGATTTCATAGCCGTTTTCTTATCAAATTCTCACGGTGTGCAATCCTACTGTTTCATGAAAGGAAAAGTGGCAATCAGTGCCGTAAACCGAGTTCCAACCCAGACCTCAGGGTTAGCATTCCAGAATTCTTCCTGCCACAGCTGCCCTCAGGACTGGCTGCTCCAAGGAGAAGATTCTCATCCAAAGTACACTTAGTCTTGGGCTGGGAAAGTGAGGCCCTGGGTTCAATTCCTCAGCACCACATAAGCAGAAAAAAAAAGCCGGAAGTGGCACTGTGGCTCAAGTGGTAGGGTGCTAGCCTTGAGCTGAAGAGCTGAGGGACAGCGCCCAGGCCCAGAGTTCATTCCCCACAACCCGCAAACAACAACAACAAATTCACTTAAATCTGCCTTTAGCTGTGTGGCCTCAGGCAAGTCCCCATCCCTCCTGGTTCTGTATTCCTTTGTGCACAACATGATTCTTGCCATAATTACTGGCTTCTTATTTGAAGGTGGATGAAGTTCCCTGAGATAATCCTTTATTATCTCCTTACCTGGCCCGTTTCACACTCCCCAACATAAAGATATTTTTGAGCTGCTTCAATATTGAGACAAGTTTTCTAGGCATGGTGATACAAGCCTACAATCTCAGCCCTTCAGGAGACCCTAGGTAGGAGGTTCATAGTCTGAGGCCAGCCCTGGGCAAAATATACAAGATCCTATCAGGAAAAAAATAAAGCAAAAAAGGCAAGGTGTGTGGCTCTAATTACAGCACTTACCTGGCAAGCACAAGGCCCTGAGTTTAAGCCCCAGTACTACCAAAAGAAAAAAAGAAAGAAATATTACACATTTTCAATTACTTTAAGGAAGGGCTGAGATTAGGATGAAATACTTGGAAGGCTCTTGGAAAGGCTAGAAAAGTCTTATTGCTTGGCTGGGTTAATGGTTACCAGGGTAGTTATCTTGAAACAAACTTTAAACCACAATTTTAAGTTGTGTGATTGTTTTTGTATTGGTCTTGTTTTATAATATAAAGCTTTCGCCAAAAAAATCCAAAGACAAAATTGCCTATATCACTGCTTCTGTATACACCTGCACATGTATACATATACATGGGTTAAGAATGTGTGCCTCCTGGCATACACACTAGGTGTATAGGAATCCACTAAATATGAGTTTCCTGTGAATCCTGTCAAGATCCTGTGTGATTTCAACACACTTGCCTCACATTCTGAACTGGTAAGACATATCAGAAACTGATCATGCTTATTAGGGATTATGACGTGCCAGACACTATTGCAAGTGTACCTAGTCATGCTGGGACATGACTGTCTCATCTGACAGTAAATGGGACAAAAGCTTGCCCGTGATAGAGTAACCCGGGCAGCCAGGCTCTCCTGTGTATGTCTACCTACACTCTGGTGTGTACCTCCTGCTGTTTCTGTTTGTGCTTTTGTTTCATAGGACTTCAGATTGAACCCAGGGCTTCACATAAGCTGCTCTTTTTCTTTTGTGTCGGTCGTGGGGCTTGAACTCTGGACCTGGGTGATGTCCCTGAGCTCCTCAGCTCAAGGCTAGTGCTCTACCACTTGAGCCACAGTGCCACTTTGGTTTTTCTGTGTATGTGATGCTGAGGAATCGAACCCAGGGCCTCATGCATGCGAGGCAAGCGCTCTACCACTGAGCCACCTTCCCAGCCCCCATAAGCTGCTCTTTTATGCCTCATGTCCGTTTGCAATAACATCTCCTCTTGGTGGTGCACCTGCTCGCATGAGTGGCGCACCTGGACAGGACAGTCCTGCAAGGTGGGGGCCGTTAGTAGTCCACGTGTGATGAACAGAAAACCCAGACCTCACAGAGGTGAAGGCACACAGCCAAAAGTTACAACAAAATAAGTGGCGGGGAGAGTGGGCGGGGTTTGCACTCTGGTTCTTCAGCTTCAAAAGAACAAAATGTCCTGTGCTCTTCAACAGTGCTCACCTGCTGCGGCTGATCCAGGCTGAGGTCATGGGGTTGCCCAACCAGTGGTCTGGAGAAGTGGGGAGATGGGGGATCGAGTGGGTGCCTGACAGGTGTCAGAAGCACCTGACCTCAGTTGTAAGGTCATGTGGCGCTCGTGACCCACGAGGCTGGTGAGCTTGAAGGTGTCGGAATCGTGCCCCAGGATGGAGCTGCCCAGGAGTAAACATCTGCTCAGGGGTTGTGTGTGCAGATTTCCCAGAAGAGGCCAGAGCCCCAGCTGTGGTTTTTGTGGGCACACATTGATTTCTCTGAGTCGGCATGGTTGCTTGGAGGGACAGGACGTCCTCTCTGTTCCCAGGGGCCCTGGATCCCTGCCAGATTGAAGGTTTTCCAAACCAGGGCCTGGACTGAGGGGAGGAGGACAGGAGGAGTAAAGATCCCACACTCCTTGCTCAATTCACAGAAGTGTAAAAGCTCAGCTCACCTTCCCTCGTGTGGACACCATCCAGCCTGGACCCCATGCCCCACAAGGTCCAGTCCTGAGGCTTGATCTCAGTGCCTGGGCACTGTCCCTGAGCTTCTTTTGCTCAGGGCTAGCTCTCTACCACTTGAGCCACAGTGCTACTTCTGGCTCTTTCTGCTTATGGGGTATTGAGGAACCAAACCCAGGGCTTCATTCATGCTAGGCAAGCACTCTACCACTAAGCCACCTTCCCCACCCCCAAGCTAAGCATTTTATACATATTCATTCAATGAAAGCCCACAGAGAGGTCTAGAGTAGAGGCTCTTCTGTGTGCCATGTGGCAGATGAGGACACACAGAGGTCAAGTCACGGGTAAATGTCACACATAGAAGGAACTGCAAATCTATGACTTTGGAGTGCTAGCCTAAGTGTGTCAGACCTAGCGATGCTCCGTGAATACACTGGTCACTTTTTTTCTGTGCAGTAACCCTAATGGGTAAATATCAGGCAAAGATTGAGGAAACTGAGGCTCAAGAGGTAGTTGTGCATGGTATAGTGTTGCAAGAAAGTTCTGCAGGGACAACCAGTTCTCAGGTTTTTTTTTCTTCTTCTTCTTCTTTTTTTTTTTTTTTTTTTTTGGTCGTGGGGCTTGAACTCTGAGCCCAGGCGCTGTCCCTGTGCTCTTCAGCTCAAAGCTAGCGGTCTACCACTTGAGCTATAGCACCACTTCTGGTTTTTCTTGTGGTTAATTGGAGATAAGAGTCTCATGGACTTTCCTGCCCCAGCTGGCTTTGAACCTCAATCCTCAGATCTCAGCCTCCTGAGTGGCTAGGATTACAGGTGTGGGCCACCGGTGCCCGGCCTAGTGATCAGTTTTTAAGGGCACAGTGTGAGACTCACAACTGCTAAGATTAGGCCATGAGCAGTAAACCCACCCCCAGCATTTATTATCACCCCGACACTCATCCATAGATCTAGAGGAGAGAAGAAAGGGTTCACCTTGGCCATAGGAGAACGTAGAGGGCAGGATGGGGAAGGGGCACTCCCCTGGCAGGGAAGTACTCCTATGAGAGCTTAAATGCGGAGTCGAGGGACAGCTGGGCTGATAGGAGCTGGCTACACAGGGGCACTGGTGAAGGAGCCAGAAGAGCATGTGTGTGTGTGTGTGTGTGTGTGTGTGTGTGTGTGCATGTGCGCATGTGCCAAAGTCAGCCACACTCCAGGAAGCTCTGGGAGCCAGTGCTTAAGTGTTTCCCATGGGCCTGCATGGGCAGAGAGTTCCTATAAGGGCTTGGCATGGGTCCTGCCCCTGGGGCACCCTGGAGGGGAGCTGGGGGCAGCTGCAAGAAGCCAGGGTGGGAATGGGTGTTAGATTCTTGGGGATTGAGAAAGAGGCTGCAAAGGACCTCCAGAGAAAGAAGTACACACACACACACACACACACACCCTTTGCAGGTCAAGAGTGCCACTCTAGCCTCACGTCAAGGGTTTGAGGAGCCTGCAGGGGGCGCCCATGTGGCTGGTGCCCACAACCTCATACTGAAACATCAAGGGGACGCTCTAAATGCCTGCTGGGTTCAGCCAGTTCAAAGCCAGCCAGGCTGGTGGCAGCTCAGGTGACCTTTCCTCTCCCTCCTCACAACTACCTGACCCCCAGGTCCCACCTGGGGGAGGAGAGGAGAGGAGGAGAAGGAGTTAGCTACTCATCCTGTCTACCAAGCTGGGGACATGGACAAGGCTTAAACTCAAATCAGGATTTTCAGTTACTAGCTGGACTGGACATTCAAATTCCTAAAATGATGGTTGTTTGTCACCTAAGGTGACCAGAGCACTGTCTACCTGCTGAGAATAAGCAGCAAACCAACAGGGATGATTTGTCACTCGGCAGCAGGGAAATGTGTGTGTGTGTGTGTGTGTGTGTGTGTGTGTGTGTGTGTGTGTGTGTGGTTTCCACTGAGTACATTTTGAAAGGGACATTGGGTGACAAAAATAAGGCTGTGCTTTCATTATGTGGCAGGCTGGCTTTTTCAATGTGCTGGTCACAGAGAGTAGGAGAGTTCTTCAAAAACAAGTCTGGGAAGTGAATGTTCCAGAATGCCCTGGAATGTGGTTCATTAGGCAGGCAAGCGTTCTGGGAGCTTCTTGGCCCTTTCTAGGGGGTCAGCACATGCCTCCTGGGAAGCTGCCTTGTTGGCTTGCTGTTTCTGCTTCTTCTCGCAGCCATGTGGCCCTCTGGCTTTACCAGAAACCACAGCCTTGCTTGATTCCCCCTATCCTGCTTCCCTCTCTTCTAGTGGTTCAGGTGGTAGAACACCTGCCTAGCAAGCACAAGGCTCTGAGTTCAAATCCTAGTACTACCAAAGAAGAGAAACAGTGGCATATATACATATATATGTATATGTATACACACACATAATGGAATAGTATTCCACCCTAAAAAATGATCCAGCCATTTGACACCATGAGTGGATCTGGAGGCCATTACTCTACATGAAATAAACCAGACACAGAATGATAAAAGTTCAGGGAATTGCATGGATTTGCCCAAAACTCCAATGAAGGGTCAGGCTTTGAACTCCAAGTGCATGATCTCACTTATATGTAGAGAATACATGTATATCGATGATAAAAAACAGTGGTGACCAGAGAGGCAAGGAGACAGCGTTAGGGGTGAGGAAATAGGATATGGGTCAAAGTTCAAAGTCCTGCTTCCTTGGCTGGAGACACAATCCGTCCAAATG